ACAGCCTCTTAACTATGCTCCTCTTCATTTTCTTAAATTATTTCGTCATTCACTAGAATATATTAATAATTTATAATGATAAAAAATCATAAATATATGATAATTTATTATAAAGAATTATTAATTATATAAAATAATAAAAATTATTTATTTAATATATTATTGTACATAATTATAATCACTAATAATAGTATAAATAGAGTTATATCTTTTTGTTGTAAAAACCATTACCTTGTTTCGATAATTAATATCATCTTAGTTATAAAAATTTGGACGTTATAAATTAAAATTATATTTATGTTGGAAAATTAATGTATATAAAAATATTTGGATCCTTGAAATTTACGAGACATATACTTTCCTCTTCTTTTCCCCAAAAATATTTGGTCAATCACTAGAATATATTAATAATTTATAATGATAATAAAATTAATAGATATATTACAATTCATTACAAAGAATTATTAATTATAATGAAATAGTAAAATTATTTATTTAATAAATTATTGTACATAATTATAACTATTAATAATAGTACAAATAAGGATTGATTCTTTATATTGTAAGCTGTATAACCTTTTTCAACATTATAATATCAGCTTCATAATAAAAATTAGACGTTATAAATTAAAAATACTTTTATTTAGAAAAATTATTTTATATAAAAATATTATATCCTTAGAATTTATGAGACATGCCCTTTTTGTTGGAAAGAAAATGTCTCATAAATTTTAAGGATTCAATAATTTTATATAAAGTATTTTTCCTAAATAATAGTATTTTTAATTTATACCGTCCATTTTTTATTGCTAAGATGATATTATTTATCAAACAAGGTAATATTATTTACAACATAATGTCATATAATATTAAAATTATTTCCATTATTTAATAGATATTGTAATAATATATGTACATAACATGAATATTTAATAATATAAATGGTTTAATTATTTCGATAGTGTTACTTTTTTTGTCGCTATTTCAATAGTGATTAATTGCATTATTATTTAATAATTATACTCTTAAATAAATTGTTTAATAACATAAAAAATTTAAATAACTATTAAATGCATGTTAATAATATAAATACTAATAATAGATTAACTTAAATTTTTTAATTATAGTGTAATAAAATAACTTTGTCAAATGTTTATATATAATTTATTATATAATATAATATTAAATACAAAAACTGTCCACGTGCAAAGCACGTGCATTATACTAGTATTATATAAAAGTTAAAATAAGAAAGAAAAACTCAAAGTTTTCTGTGTAAAGAATAAATTATTTATTGCCGCGTTAGATTTTTCCTAGTAAGATGAATGGTTTGAGTGACGGGATATTCTTAACTTCTGTTCTTGTTTGAAAAAATGTTCATAATTAACATAGCGATTAAAAGGGGCGTAGTTTCAATTTATTTCTCAAAAGAAGAAAAAGAATGGGGAAAAAAAGGATAGGATTAGAAGTCTCTCATAATTAGTAGATTGAGTTTATATTCTCAACTTTTCCTAGTTGTTAATTTATAGCTCTATTTTTGCGGATAGACTCATACACTTATTGTGATTGTGTCTTTAATTCTTTGTACAACTTTATGAGAATTTGATAGGATTAGAAGTCTCTCATAATTAGTATATTGAGTTTCATTATGATAAGGAGTTTGTATTTTATTCTAATTAGGAAGTTTGATTAGGTAGGGTTTTAATTTTCCTATATATAGTTTTTTATTATTGAAGGAAAAAACATGGAGATGAGAGATATCCTACATTCTTGTAATCTAATATTAGCAGAGAGCATGGCCTGATTCAAGAATATTGTGCGAGAAGCGAGGATTTCGCAATATTTGTCCATTCAAAAGATTGTAAAGAAAGAGCTTTGGAGAGAATATGAGAGTTGACTATGTATATGAGGTTGAAAGATTGAAAGACGAGAGTTGAGTAGTTTCTCTTATAGTTCTCTTTGATACATAGTACATTTCTCGTATTGTTGCCTCGTGAATGTAGGTCAAAGTTGATCGAACGAACTACGTAAATCTCTGTATTCTTTCTTCTTGATGTGGTTGTTTTCTATCCCGTGGATTATTGATTGGCTTCCAAGTTACGCGGATCATAGTAGGCGGGGAGACTAAAAATCCACAGTAAGTAGTATTAGAGTGATGGTTATGAATCCAGGAGTTTGTAAGATAGAAGTCGTCATCATGCGAGACCGAAAATCGGCGTTAAAAGAATTAAGATGAAGAAAAAGAAAGAAAAAAAGAGAGGAGGCAGCTGGCCAATGGTGAAGGACGACCGACAGAGGCACAGCCGGCGTAGGCATGGCTTGTGACGAAATGCAGCGACTGGCGTCCAAGCAGTGGTGTACAGGGTCAGAAATTTTCTTTGCCGGCTTCCTGAAGTGTGGAGGAGAAGAATTAGTCTTCACGTGACAATAAATTTGTACACGTGAGTTGGGGTCCACATAAAAAGAAGGGAAAAATATGTCCAGGCCCAAAAGTGGGAACTTCGTGTGACTAGCCCTCTTGTACTTTGCCCCATGTGGAAAAGCCCCAAAAAATGAGCTTTAATGTTTTAAGCCCCCTCCACGTCAGCTTTATACTAAAAGCAGATCGTATTTTGGAAAAAAGCCGAAACTGCCCTTCTCTTTCTTCCCCAGACGAGTCCTGGTCCCGAACAACAGAAGTCACTTCTCATTAATGCGATATGATGGGAAAAATGGAGGGAAATTTCCCCCTTTTTTTTACTCCATCATGAGCAATAACTAGTTAGTTCTCCATTACTCCTCCTTAGACCAAAATTCTCTCCATTACTCTCTCCATTACTATCCCTTCAAAATAACTAGTTAGTTCTCCATTACTATCCCTTCAAAATGGCTGAAAAGGACATCATCTGCATTGTCTCTTCGCGGTATAAAGCGTTATTCTTGAAGATTAATTCTTCAACCACCATCTTGGATCTCAAGTTTGATGTGGCAGAGAGGTTAGATCTTCCATACGAGTCATTAATTTTGGCATACGAAGATCAAACAGTTGGAAGCTTAAAATTTCTCATTGAGAACGATGGTGATCTGACGTCTATGGTGGAGCATTGCCACAATCTTGGACTGAAAGAGGTTCACGTGCAAGCTTTTAAAGAAGGAGATGATTCTTCGAATAAACAGGAAAACGAGCAAGTCCGACAAGACATGTAGGTTAACTGTAAAATCAATTAACTTAAGTTCTAATCGTCTTCTTGTTAGTTCTATACTAGGTTTAACTGGACTTCAGTTCTAATGTTTTATTTGTCATTAAGCAGTTCTTTGTTATGCTCCATACTAGAGTTCTAATGTTTTATTTGTCAGTTCTAATCGCTATTTTGTTAGTTCTACTAGAGTTATTGCTAGTTCCACTATAGTTCCCATATGCTGCAAGTGCTGCAAAGGTTGTTAGTTCTGATCTATGTCTTGTTAGTCCTAATAGTTATATTGTTAGTCCTAATTGTTATAAATTAGATATAACGTGATATAAATTAGATATAACTTGGTATAAAATAGAACTAACAAGCCATCAGTTAGAACTGACACTAACACGCTACAGATTAGAACTAACACTGTGCACATTAGAACTAACATGCTACAGAATAGAACTAACACGCTGCAGAATAGAACTAACACGCTGCAGAATAGAACTAACACTGTGCAGATTAGAACTAACACGCTACATAATAGAACTAACACTGTGTAGATCAGAACTAACACACTGCAGAATAGAACTAACACTGTACAGATTATATTATTAGTCCTAATTGTTATATTGTTAGTACTAATGGCTATATTGTTAGTTCTAATCTATGTCTTGTTAGTCCTAATGGCTATATTGTTAGTTCTAATGGCTATATTGTTTGTTCTAATAGCTATTATGTCAGTTCTAATCAATGCACTGTTAGCTCTAATGGTTATATTGTTAGTTCTTTCTAGTTCTAATTGATTCTAACTGCAAGCAATTGTCGTTTTTGCTTTTTAGCTTTTGCTATTATCTGTTGATACTTCTACTATTTGTGTAGTTTATGATTAATTTTTTGATGTTCTTAATATTTGTAGCGCTTCCAGCAGTTTGAACTCAAAAAGTGTAGACTGTGGCCCGTCGGCGTTGTGGACCACAAGTGTTCTAGATAAGAATCCCAATGACAATCCTTCCGGAAATGATATCATGACGATTGATGACATGATTAGCAGATCAGAGAGGATTCCTGCTTGGTGGCACACAGCTTTAAGCGGTGAGGGACAACGATTTGAAAGTGCGAAGGAGTTAAGATTGGCCTTGCTATACTACTCAATGGCAAAAAAATTCGAATACGAGTTTGGGAAGAATGAACCGAAGCGTATTTGAGTGTTTTGTCGGTTTAAGGAAGCAAAAAATTGTCCGTGGATGTTATTTGCCTCTCCACCGAAAAATGATAATAGACTTGAAATCAAAAGGTTTGTGGACAATCACAGTTGTGGGCAGCATGCCAATAATGCTGGTCAATCTAGAGCCTCTAGGCGATTCATTGCTACCCAATTACAACCCACATTAAAGGTTCGACCGGATATACAGCCTATTGACATTCAAAAGGAGTTTCTAAGCTCGTATGGGATTAGGGTCGATTATAGTAAGATTTGGTGGGGGTAAAGAAGAGCACAAGAGAAATTATATGGTGATGCCCATGAGTCCTACGATCAATTACGATGGTAAATAGAAGATGATATATAACAAAATGAGGGGATTAGGGTCGATTATACTAATTTTTCAATGTTGGTACTAACGCTTAATCTTCAATTTTCTAGGTATGTAGAAGAGGTCAAGAAGACAAACCCAGGTAGCTATATTCATGTTGAACAAAATGAGGGGAGGTTTACAAGGTTATTCATATGCTACGCCGCCTGCATAAATGGTTTTTTATACGGATGTAGACCACTCTTATTTTTGGATGGTACCTTTCTTAAAGATCGATTCAAAGGCATACTCCTAAGCACCGTAGCATATGATGGAAATCAGGGGATATTTCCATTGGCATATTGTATATGCGATCAGGAAAATAACGTTAACTGGAAGTGGTTCTTACAAGGTTAGTTCTATCCCTAGCCATGTTAGTTCTATTGCAGGTTATGATAATTTTAGCTCATTCATTGCTAACTCTATAATTCGTATATGGTAACCACAACTCTTTGTAGGTTTGTGGTCTATTCTCTACGAAAGGCCAGATCCATACAACCCTCCACACAAGCTAGTGATAATTTCAGATGCGGATAAGGGGATCAGAGAAGCAGTTAGAGAATTTTTTCCAGATTCTATACACTCTCGATGTGTGTTGCATCTAGTTGAGAACTTCAGGACAAAGTTGAAGGATTTGGGATTCAAATCAAAAGATACTCAGATCTTGGGTAATCTATTGCAATCTGCCTGTTACAAATATACTAGAGCAGAATGGAACGATTACATGGACGACATTAGACTGGTTGACGAAAGAGCTTACAATATTGTGATGAACTACGCTCCAGAAAACTGGGCCAATGCGTTTTTCCCTGGAGTTAGGTAAGTTATAAGCTATTTCATTACATGACTATTATAAGCCGCTTGACGAATTCCCTATTATGTTTCAGATATGGTCACGTTACATCAAATGTTGCAGAGTCATTCAACAAATGGATACATGAGGCTAGGCTACTACGGATACTTCAACTGGTAGAGCACATACGTAAACAGATTATGGTTCGTATGAATGAGCGACGAACCATGGCTGAAAGCTGGAATCAATTTCTTTGCCCCAAAGCTGAACTTGCTCTCAAAGAGAACATGGAAAATGGTCGTCCATTGGAGGTTCGTCAGTCCCACACAGGATTATTTGAGGTACAATCCCATAGATCTTGTCAAGTGGATCTAGACAATAAAACATGCACTTGCCGTGGGTGGGATGTAACCCGTGTCCCTTGCAAACATGCATGCGCATCCATTATGTTTATGAAAAGGGATGTCTACCAGTTCTGTGACTGGTTTATGACGGTTGAAGCCTTTAAAAAGAGCTACGAGCCAATCCTCTACCCTATCCCTGACTTTGAGAAGCGCATCGTGCCAAGGGATGAGATACAGATCCTACCTCCACTTACAACAAAAAGGAAAGGGAGAAATAAAACCAGGCGTATCAACAACAGAACTGTTTACACGCGGCCAGTAAAATGTTCTCGATGTCATATGGAAGGTCATAACCGTAAAACATGTAATGAATCTATAGCTGACTAAGTGTTTGATACGTTGAAGTGTTTTCGTCCCAGTATGCAACAAATATTTTGTTTTTTGTCGATTGAGTGTTTGATATTCTTGTTTATTCTAATAGAACTAACATAAATTAGATATAACGTGGTATAAATTAGATATAACGAGTAATAAAATAGAACTAACAAGCCATCACACGCTACAGAATAGAACTAACACTGTGCAGATTAGAAATAACACGCTACAGAATAGAATTAACACTGTGCAGATTAGAACTAACACTCTACAGAATAGAACGAACACTGTGCAGATTAGAACTAACACTCTACAGAATAGAACTAACACTGTGTAGATTAGAACTAACACTCTACAGAATAGAACTGACACTGTACAGATTAGAACTAACACGCTACAGAATAGAACTGACACTGTGCAGATTAGAACTAACACGCTACAGAATAGAACTGACACTGTGCAGATTAGAACTAACTTGGTATAAAATTAGACCAAACTTTGTTTAAATAGAACTAACACGCTACAGAATAGAACTAACTTGGTATAAATTAGAACTAACTTGGTATAAAAATAGAGCAAACTTTGTTTAAATTAGAACTAACTTTGTATAAATTAGATCTAACGTTGTATAAAATAAAAATAGCTTGGTATAAATTAGAACTAACTTGGTATAAATGAGATATAACGTGGTATAAATTAGGTTTATAACATGGTATAAAATAGAACTAACATAAATTAGATATAACGTGGTATAAATTAGACATAACGTGTAATAAAATAGAACTAACAAGCCATCACATGCTACAGAATAGAAGAACACTGTGCAGATTAGAACTAACACGCTATAGAATAGAACTGACACTGTGCAGATTAGAACTAACACTCTAAAGAATAGAACTGACACTGTGCAGATTAGAACTAACACTCTACAGAATAGAACTAACTTAGTATAAATTAGAACTAACTTGGTATAAAAATAGAACAAACTTTGTTTAAATTAGAACTAACTTTGTATAAATTAGATCTAACGTTGTATAAAATAGAAATAACTTGGTATAAATTAGAACTAACTTGGTATAAATAAGATATAACGTGGTATAAATTAGGTTTATAACATGGTATAAAATAGAACTAGCATAAATTAGATATAACGTGGTATAAATTAGACATAACGTGTAATAAAATATAACTAACAAGCCATCACACGCTACAGAATAGAAGAACACTGTGCAGATTAAAAATAACACGCTACAAAATAGAACTAACATTGTACAGATTAGAACTAACATTCTACAGAATAGAACTGACACTGTGCAGATTAGAACTATCACTCTACAGAATAGAACTGACACTGTGCAGATTAGACCTAACACGCTATAGAATAGAACTGACACTGTGCAGATTAGAACTAACACGCTACAGAATAGAACTAACTTGGTATAAATTAGAACAAATTTTGTTTAAATTAGAACTAACTTTGTATAAATTAGATCTAACGTTGTATAAAATAGAACTAACTTAGTATAAATTAGAACTAATTTGGTATAAATGAGATATAACGTGGTATAAATTAGGTTTATAACGTTATAAAAAATAGAACTAACTTGGTATAAATTAGATCTAACGTGGTATAAATTAGATATAACGTGGTATAAATTAGGTTTATAACGTGGTATAAAATAGAACTAACTTGGTATAAATTAGATCTAACGTGGTATAAATGAGATATAACGTGGTATAAATTAGGTTTATAACGTGGTATAAAATAGAACTAACATAAATTAGATATAACGTGGTATAAATTAGATATAACATGTAATAAAATAGAACTAACAAGTCATCACACGCTACAGAATAGAAGAACACTGTGCAGATTAGAAATAACACGCTACAGAATAGAACTAACACTGTGCAGATTAGAACTAACACTCTACAGAATAGAAGAACACTGTGCAGATTAGAACTAACACATTACAGAATAGAACTGACACTGTGCAGATTAGAACTAACACTCTACAGAATAGAACTGACACTGTGCAGATTAGAACTAACACGCTACAGAATAGAACTAACTTGGTATAAATTAGAACTAACTTGGTATAAAAATAGAACAAACTTTGTTTAAATTAGAACTAACTTTGTATAAATTAGATCTAACGTTGTATAAAATAGAAATAACTTGGTATAAATTAGAACTAACCTTGGTATAAATTAGTAAATTAGATCTAACTTGGTATAAATGAGATATAACGTGGTATAAATTAGGTTTATAACATGGTATAAAATAGAACTAACATAAATTAGATATAACGTGGTATAAATTAGACATAACGTGTAATAAAATAGAACTAACAAGCCATCACACGCTACAGAATAGAAGAACACTGTGCAGATTAGAACTAACACGCTACAGAATAGAACTGACACTGTGCAGATTAGAACTAACACTCTACAGAATAGAACTGACACTGTGCAGATTAGAACTAACACTCTACAGAATAGAACTAACTTGGTATAAATTAGATCTAACTTGGTATAAAAATAGAACAAACTTTGTTTAAATTAGAACTAACTTTGTATAAATTAGATCTAACGTTGTATAAAATACAAATAACTTGGTATAAATTAGAACTAACTTGGTAGAAATGAGATATAACGTGGTATAAATTAGGTTTATAACATGGTATAAAATAGAACTAACATAAATTAGATATAACGTGGTATAAATTAGACATAACGTGTAATAAATTAGAACTAACAAGCCATCACACGCTACAGAATAGAAGAACACTGTGCAGATTAGAAATAACACGCTACAGAATAGAACTAACACTGTACAGATTAGAACTACACTCTACAGAATAGAACTGATACTGTGTAGATTAGAACTAACACTCTACAGAATAGAACTGACACTGTGTAGATTAGAACTAACACGCTACAGAATAGAACTAACTTGGTATAAATTAGAACTAACTTGGTATAAAAATAGAACAAACTTTGTTTAAATTAGAACTAACTTTGTATAAATTAGATCTAACGTTGTATAAAATAGAAATAACTTGGTATAAATTAGAACTAACTTGGTTAGATCTAACTTGGTATAAATGAGATATAACGTGGTATAAATTAGGTTTATAACATGGTATAAAATAGAACTAACATAAATTAGATATAACGTGGTATAAATTAGACATAACGTGTAATAAAATAGAACTAACAAGCCATCACACGCTACAGAATAGAAGAACACTGTACATATTAGAACTAACACGCTACAGAATAGAACTGACACTGTACAGATTAGAACTAACACTCTACAGAATAGAACTGACACTGTGCAGATTAGAACTAACACTCTACAGAATAAAACTGACACTGTGCAGATTAGAACTAACACTGTGCAGATTAGAACTAACACTCTACAGAATAGAACTAACACTGTGCAGATTAGAACTAACAACATATATATTAGAACTAGCATGTTATAATATATAACTAAAAGGGTGCATATTGGAACTAACACAACATTAGTTATACTAATATATAAGAACTAACACGGCTTCTCTGTATTGGGTTAAGATTTGTAACAAACTGTTTTCTGGATAAGCAATATTTAACAAGAACTAACACGCAATGATGCCAGGTCTTCATTTGTTACTGCCCTCGCTGGATCGGTTTCGGTCTAATAAACCCTTTTCGATGTCACTCGCCTTCTTTTTCGAAGGTCCTGGCTTACTGCGCTTTGAGGAAGGAGAACTGGATTCCGCTGAGCTACTGTGGGAGACGACGGGGTGTAAAGGGAGAGAAACATTGCCGGTAGGGAGAGACCTCGGAGAATTGGTACCCCCGACCCCTTGGTTACGGAGAAACAGCTACCACTGGTCTCTCTCGACCGTCATGTGTTTGCCACCCTAACTAACCTCAATTAACTCGGGGTCGGTCCTAAAGGGCTGCGCACGCTGGGGCCGTAAGTTGAGTCGTGTGGATCCCTGAGCCCTCTCCAAATTCCCCCCGCATTGGACCTGCGTGATGGCGTATCCTTCCCTGGCGTTACCATCCACCGGCGAGATGTAACGGAACCCAAGCCTCTTAGGGATTTCAGATAAATCCCTAACCTTGAGTAGAACTCTACAGTCTTTGAAGTTAGAATGTGTTATGATGTCCCTGGAGCACATGACACATTCACCGATACCAATGAGCAGAGATTGAAGAAATTCAAAATTCCAGAGGTGGTATGGGAGATTGAATAGGCGAATCCATACTAGAAAGGGTTGAGGCAACGTTGTTAGCCTCAGATCCTCTTTCCAACGGCGAAATCTGCCCTTAAATGTGCCCATATCTATCAAACCGAGTTCAATAGCTTGGGCAAGAACTTTATCGGATGGAAACTGCACAATGAAGTTGTGTCCTACCGCCTCCTTGATTTGATGGGGCCATGTCCTAAGATTAAAGCGGTAGGCCAGCATCTCTCGGAGCTCCTGCACAGATGGACGGCCTCTATCAAGATTGAAGATGACGTAAGAAGAAAGATGCCGTACGGTGCTGGAGGTGTTGGCCGAGACGGTAAGCATCCTCGGAGAGGCACGAGCGGTAATTCCATGATGACAATCTCGAGAGCTATGTCCTGTCCCATGGCAGTGTACACAAAAAGGATCCCCAGCCATTTGTGAGGGTATACGATGAAAATAGATGACGCTGGGTTGCGGTTTTTAGCAGGGGGAGGGGTTTGCAGAGGCGCCTATGCTGGGGCCAGTAGAAGAAAGGTGGTGACCGTACTATCGATGGAAGTTCGTATTAGGTATTTAAGTTAATTAATTTATTTAACTAACTTGGGAACACGCGAATATATAATGTGATATGTTAGTGTAATGGAACCGTCGCTTCGAAAGAAGTGAACAGCTGGAGGTCTGAAGATAACTTAAATAATTAAAAAATTAGAACTGGCTATGAGATAGAACTAACGAGCATGGTACAGAATAGAACTAACGTTGTATGATTTAGAACTAACGAGCATCACTAGAACTAACATGGTACAGATAGAACAATACATCTGATAACAATCATTTTCAATTACTTAAATATACATACATTATTGTATTTGTATGAACATATCATTCATCACTGTATACTGTTTCTTCTTTATGTCTTTGTTCAAAACCAGCCTGTAATAATTGTGCGACAAGTCTTGCTCGCATAGCTTCAGGGATATCGTTCGGAGGATTAACCAGCAATGTTGATCGTCCTTCAATTATGGGTTTTATATAGAGGTAGACGAACACACCACAGTCAAAGCTGCAACATAGAGTGAGTTCATTAGACATTTTCGGTCCGTTCTAATACTATAACACAAATTAACACAATTTAGACATCAGAACTAACCGTCCTCTTTGTTGCTCGCATTTGATGGCTTGATATCTAAATATTTTGCGCACATTTTGCTCAATAAATTCAGCATGATGGGCATCAAAGAAGTTTATGATTTTATTAACAGGCTCCATCCAAGCTTCGTGCCCAGCGGAACTGTAATGCTTGACGACTTTATCTTTAAAATCAACTTCTACAAGATGCCAATGATCGTGCCTGACCAAAGGGATCAAGAGATGCTCCATACGGAATGCGGTATATTTTTCAATATATGACAAAAATAGCTCGTAATTGTTCGTCTCAAAGCCGTAGAGTGAGTGCTGCAAACACATCATGTTTGAGTTGAAATTAAAATAAACATGAGCTGCGAAGGTTAACTAACACCGTATTAATTAGAAATAACACGATACAGAATAGAACTAACACTGTGTAGATTAGAACTAAAACGCTACAGAATAGAACTAACACTGTGCAGATTAGAACTAACACGCTACAGAATAGAACTAACACTGTACAGATTAGAACTAACACCCTACAAAATAGAACTAACACTGTGCAGATTAGAACTAACACTCTACAGAATAGAACTAACACTGTGCAGATTAGAACTAACATGCTACAGAATAGAACTAACACTGTGCAGATTAGAACTAACATTGTGCAGTTAGAACTAACACGGCGTAATATATAAGAACTAATATGAACTGCGACAGAACTAACATGACTTATGATAGGTCTAACTTGATGCTAACTAGAACTAACGTGACTCATGGTATAGCTAGCATGGATTACACAAGATCTAACATGAATTTCAATCAAAACTAACATGGTGAAATTAGGAATAGCATGTTCTTACAAGAAAGAACACCGATACCACTCCATATCCTTTGCCGTATGCCTCCTGGCTAATCGTGTCCAAAACTGCTTCTTCCACCTGTAATTGTTATGAAACATTAAAATTCAATTTAAACAATATAATTTGAATTATTAAGGAAGTATATGTTAACCTTGTCGTCAAGGCGGCCACCACGAAGCACATATAACAACTCTTCCCTGTTAATAGTGCTGTTGGTTGTTACTATAACATTATATCTCCTGGTATAAATTAGAACTAACATGAATTAGAACTAATATGTGGAGAATTAGCGTACAAATAGTCAACTGAAACTTACCTGTGAATCTTCTGAGAACAAAATTTGGTTAGGCTCTCAATTTGAGCTTTGTCGAGTCTGTCTGCTACTAGAGATGGTATCTTTAAATTATGTACAAAAGCACCTGTGCTATCTATTATGCGTAAGTTAAACAATGTAGGGTCTGGAAGCTCATTATTCAGCTCTTCCAATAGAGCTACCTCTTCATCTGTCATTGGCTTCAAACTCAACGCATCCCAAGTGGGGATTTGATTACCGGGGTAAAAATGAGTAACTTTGTCAGCTAGTTTTACTTTTGGTGCATGACTTTCAAGTATATCTATACATTCTTTTTCCTTTTTATTTCTTTTGCCTGCAGTATATGGGGTCCTCTTCCATTTAGATCTCCTGCTTACCCTTCTTGGCTTTGGTCTACGCTTTGCTTCCACATTGCTCGTTAGAACTGAAACAAGTTTGTCCACATCATGTTTAATATTCACAAGATCCTCTTCCTCTTGTGCTTCCAACTTATATACATTCTCCTTCTCTTTATCTATAATATATTCCTCCTTATCTACACCATCAACAGGATCCTCATCAAAATCTTTGTTATCTACAATAAAATCCTTATCTACCATATGCTCCTCTTCCTTATCTACCATATGCTCCTCTTCCTTATTTACAATATCTTCCATATGCTCCTCTTCCTTATTTACACTATCCTCAACCTTAGTATCTACAGTCTGGTCAACCTTACTATATACCCCCTCCCCTGGAGAAGTAACAGGCTCCTCTTCTATTGCCTCATCGTCAGCAGGATGCTTCACATCCTCTTCAACAATCTTATGTACATGTTCTTGCATGGTGGGCTCTTCCTTATATACACTGCTTGTTTTGGACTTCTGTTCCTCTTGAGCTTCCCGTCGTTTCTTCCTAATTTCATTTGTAATTTTCTGTTTGATATTTGACTTAAGCAGCACCGGGTCTATAACCTCATCATGTCTTCCACATTTTTCAATTATCCTGTTAAGCCTGTTGATCTTAATCATGAATTCTTTACAATATTTGCTCTTGGTCTGCTTTGTAGCAACAAGAAGTCGCTTGAGAAATTTAGCAGAATTTCTCCAAAATGTGAGTTGCTGCTCAATGGGAAGAACATTGATCTCCTCTTCATCGTCAAAAGCAACGTCAATATGCTTTGCCATGATCTGTTATTGATACAAGATTATAATTTTAAGTAGGATTAAACATAATTAGGATATTCTTTGCAGTTAGTGTGAAATGAGTACGACTTAACATAACAGGATACTTACATAACCTATTGAGAAGTTCTTAGTAGTTTCTTCCTGGAAAGCCTTCCTCTTTGCCTGACGCTTTTGCTGAAGAACTTCACCCCTCTGTACAGCGGGACCTTCATCCCTCTGTTCAGCGGGAAGTGAATGAACATGACCTAGAGAAGCGACCTCCGCAATAGGCCTATGGACAAATATTATTGACGCTGACTTAGCCTTTGAAATAATTGTCAGCATCCTCATAGATGCGATTTTCTCCTCCCCGGATGCCCAATTTGTCATTGGAGGTCTGGAGGTGTCTAAGAGGGCATATTTCTTTATGCCTGTCATCTCGTAGTACCAAAGCTGTACCAAATATATTTACCATTAACATTTAATACTAGACTAGACCAAAGAGAATAAAATATGGCTGCATCTAGAACTAACATGGTGTAAATTAGTACGTGGTACGACATGAATTATGATAGAACTAACATGGCCTATGATAGAACTTACATGGGTGCAGATAGAACTAACATGGTATATCTTAAAACTAACAAGGTGCAGATTAGAACTCACATGAAACAAATTAGAACTAACAAAATCTGCAACAGAACTAACATGGTGTAGATTAGAACTAACATGGTATACATCAAAACTAACATAGAATAAGTTAGAACTAACAATGTATAGGTACGAACTAGAATGAAACAAGATCAGTAAAATATGGAACTTACACACAATAGTGTCATGCAACCTGGGACATATGCGACCCTTTGCTTCTTCTTTCCCTCCAAAGCAACTCCAATGCCCCTGATAATTTCATTATAAAAGAACTTGGCCCATGAAACATCATTGACCCTCTGAATGCTATCCAGGTACCTGAGTAAGGGTCTAGGGATACCTTCCCCTGCTATGGGACTCCATATCATAGAGCATTGGTACAAAATTTGTAGCAGAACAAAACCCTCGATATCCCGCTTTTTTGTAGATTCAACTAGCCGTTCAAGTAGCCCTTCAAGATGTTTACGTTGGGTGGTTTCTGCTTTTTTTAACTTCTTACCCTCTTCAGAAATGAAAAGCTTAGCGAAGTATTTGAGCCATATTCTGCTTCTTGAGTCCCTATTGTTACTTATGACCTCCCCATAAATTGGGAAATGAGTATGGTTATGGACCCATTGCAAATCAAAACTAACATTTTTTATACACCCACTTTTTGAATCAGGTATACAAAAGATGTTATTATCTCTGTCATAAAAGCTCAGCAGCAGCTCAATGGTGAGCCGATCAGGCGCAGGAGCCCCAAATAAAATGTAGTGCTGAAATATAGAACCACAGTATGCATCCCTATGCCACTGACGGATCTTCGGGGCAATGCGCTTCATAAATCCCCAATAAGCCCCGATATTGGCCGTTAACCTTAGTGTTTCTGCTGAGCCTGTTAGAGCAATTTTTTCCCTGCAAAAAGTTTTTGAATTTGTAAGTTCAATAAGACATATGAACTCATATTAGACCTAGCACTAACGGGAACAAAATAGAGCTAACACGTAGTGTTATAGAACTAACATCGGACTCAAACTAGAACTAACATTGGACTCAAACTAGAACTAACATTAGACTCAAACTAGAACTAACATTGGACTTAAACTAGAACTAACATTGGTCTCAAACCAGAACTAACATTTGACTCAAACTAGAACTAACATTGGACAAAGCCTAGAACTAACAATATTGGGGTAATCTGCATTGTCTCTTCGTGGTATAAACCCGTATTCTTGAAGATTAAACCTAGCCATTGCCGTTGCCGAATACTGAAGATTATAACACTTACTGTTTTTTTGAGGGGGGTTTGTTGGTACGAACAGCCATTGCCGTCCTCCTTTTCTGGGCTCGCCATTGTATTGCCTCCTTTTGCATTTCGATTAGGATTTGCGTTGCTTCTGTAGCTTCCTCCGGGCTGCCACCCGCAGATGAAGCGCCTTTTCCTTCCAACTCGGCTCGATGAGCGACCTCGTAGTCGTTACTGGATCCTTCCATAGACGACATTTTCCTGGCGAAAACCCTAGAAACGTTGAAATCCGTACAGAAATTAGGAAGATGAAGAGTTCTTGATGACGGTGCTAGGTGGAAGAGAGAGAAAGAGAGGGAGAGTACTTGTAAAGGTATGGGGCGCATTAACCCAGCTCAGTCCCATCAGAGGGCAAGATCGTAACTTCCTCTGGTCTTTTTCTGAAAAAAGTCAAATCGGGGCCTCGTCGCAAATACTATGCGTATTTGGGGCTTTTCCACATGGGGCAAAGTACAAGGGGGCTAGTCACACGAAGTTCCCACTTTTGGGACCTGGACACATTTTTTCCTAAAAAGAAGCATAAAAAGAGTTTCTGTTTTTTAAAATAAAAGCAAAATGATAAATAAGAGTTACTATGGCATGGGCCCGTGTGAACAGTGATTTATGGGTGAAGGAATTGTGTCGAGAATCAGTCACATGTAATACTGAAGAGTGAAGACTCATGGGATCTAATGTGGAGTTTTCGTGTTTTGTGCTATGGATCTGGATCGAATGGACAGTCTAGATTGTTTTATTGATAATTTGGTGAATTAAATGCTGATTTTAATAATCCAGGAGTCGATTTATAGGTTATGGAGTGCTTTGAACATGATGAAAGGGTCTCATTTTTCAGATTTTGCTTAGATCGGTCAGACAAAGATGAAAGGTTCTGATGGCGTGGCGAGACAAATCTAATGGCAGATAGGGCGAAAGAGTATGTGACGGATGAAACCGGTATAGAGAATCAGACATGATGCTAACAGTAGAGTTATCAGCATATAATTATTCAGAGTCATCGCAGGAGCAGGAGTTTGTTGACGTGTGTAACATCGATGGGATAGTGTCAGATTAGGTGGAGCTTGCAAGCGAGTATTACTGAATGACACACATGCTAATGGAGATGGTGGCATTGGACTTGTAGAGAGGTGTACAAGAATGAGCATTCATGTTCAGTCCATGCCAAACAGTGAGATAATTGCATTGGTCTCGTGTTGTGGCATAGAAAAGGTCACCGATATAGTTTGAGGTGAGCGATGCAGGTGGAGCACAAGGACAACAAGCGGGGGAAGGCTACTGTTAGTTTCAGTTCGGGGAAAAACATATTCAATTTGCTTCTGATGTTAGAGATGGCGAAGATTTCTTAGTTGGCATAAAAGAGGCGGAGGCGCCATGGCAAAGCGGATGACATAGAGAGTTGTTGGGCATCCGGGTTGGAGTAAGGGTGCTTTACTTACGAGTGTGGGCACTTTGGCTAAAGTCCAAAGAAATAGAAGACGCTAGTAGGAGAGACAAAGTCTCAAGACGGCAATAATATATCTTCGAGTGAGATGGAAAACAAATTCAATTTGGAGTTGTTAGGATTGTATCTTTGATTCTTTGTATAACTTCATGAGAATTTGATAGGATTAGAGGTCTATCGTAATTAGGAGATTTGGTCTCATCATGATAATGAGTTTGTACCTTATTCTAATTAGGAAGTTTGGCTAGGGTAAGATTTTGGTTTCCCTATATTCATCTATTGTTGGAGAAAAAACTATAGAGAGGAGAGAGAGCCTATATTCTTATAATGTAGGGTTAACAGAGGGAGTTATCTGATTTAAGAATATTATGCGAGAGACGAGAGTTTCGTAGTCTTTGTCTATTCAGAAGATTATAAGAAGAAGGCTTTAAAGAGAATATGAGAGTTGAGCA